CTTTGATATTATTCTTATCTTACCAATCAGGCTTTCTGCACATGCACCTGCACTCGATGTGTCTAATAAAGGGCAGTTGGATGGAAAACTGTTGCCTCATGAGACTGACATACTGTGACTTCTGTACTACAGCCTGATTGAATGAAGAGAGTTATGTTCTGAGACAGCACAATGCAGCTAATTCAAGATGTGTCTTTGTGTCAATAGCATGATTGACTGGAGCTAAAAGACTTGGCCAGTCAATTCCTCCCTGAATCATGGAGACGCGAAACCCTGTCCCAATGGAACTCTTCTCGTCCAATTGAGGCACAGCGAATCGGTCATTATAGGAACAAGGCTGCCACTAATCATGGAGCTTTTTGAATTCATCCAGAGCATTCCTTTAATTTTTTTTAAGATTTATTCATTTATTTTATAGAGAGATTGAGAGAGAGAGAGAAGGAGAGAGAGCGCTAGTGGGGAAGAGGGGCAGAGGAAGAGGGAAAGATTCTCAAGAAAACTCCTCACTGAGTAAGGAGCCTGACCTGGGAACTGATCCCGGGACCCTAGATCATGACCTGAGCCGAAATCAAGATGCTTCACTGACTGAGCCACCCAGGCGCCCTCAGAAGCATTCTTTATCCATTATTCATTTGTCTCAATCCCTCTCTACTTCCTTTACCTTAAACCAAATGGCCAGTCAACCCACAAGATACTTTGTATTTAACCTGCTTGTATATTGTGTGATGTTAGGAATTCTTGTAGAGTTTTGGATACTGTAATCCAGCCACCACTTAGAGCAATACAAATGAGAACGTGCTTTACATTTTGTAACATCATCTTTAACACTATATAACTTTGGGGTATTCTGAAAATAATCTCTGTGAGTCCAAAGAGATAAGGATGATCAAATTCTGGGGAAGAATTGGATTTTGTTGGATTTGTAAGTTCATTGGATGTCCGGGATGAGTAACTGAATAGATGTGGCTTAGGTTTTACAGTATCTGAAATGGATAGAAGAATTCATTTCTCAATACCAGTTTCAAACGCAGGTTAATTCTGACTAGTCATCCAAAATATTACCAGGTATCTAAATAAGCCCATATGTTGAAGTCACACTTCATAATGACACTGTGTAAGTAAGAGGAATTTAGGGCAGGAAGCCCTGGGTTCATCATAGACATTCTCCTAACTGGCTGTGTCACAGCAGGAGGATCTGTGCATGGGGAGATTTTTCGGAGGCTATACCCTCTTCCCCACCATTTCCATCCCTAGTACAATCCATGAAACAGACAGTGCTTGCCACAACATGTGGTCTCCAGTCCAAGTCCATGGCTGCCCATGTTTCCCTCCAGTGAGGCCATTATGGTGCCTCCATTGGCTATGGGGTAAGTTATACATTCTCTCTGAGGTCCATTTCTGCATCTTTAAAACAAAAACATGAATGCTCTAGCAGGCATTTTGTTCCATGATGAAGTCAACTTTGCATCAAAAGAAATTCTGTATGTAGAAGTGGTGTTTAAACTATGAGGTCAAATACTAAAATTACCTTCATTACGATGATAACCACTTCTAACACAACAGCATTTGATGAGACTATTCTCAGTGAGTCAACCACTGGACCTTAGTGCTTGGCACATATTATTATTTATCTGCATAACATCACTGAGAGCTGGATGTTGGTGTTTTTATTTTTACACATAGGACTAAACCCCTGGGAGGCCAAATGATTTACCCAAAGCCTTGAAGCTTTCAGTGGCAAACCTCGGTTTTGAACTCTTTCATTGTGATGGAAACATAGGTTCTGCTTATCCGAATTCGCCTTTAAGTGGAAACTTTGAGAATGTGTGGGGTGTTCTGTGTGTTTGTTTTTCAACCAAAGTGTTTTGAGCCCCAAGTATCTATCAAGGAAAGTGGTCAGAACTGTACGTTCATCATTTTGTTTCTTTCACACCACAACTTTAGGAGCTAAGCAGGGGCACTGATGTCGTTTTGTCTTTGTGTTGGGGGTGAGTTGTGTCCTGGGGGAAGTGTAGCAGCATCCATGCCTTGTACCCACTAAGTGCCTGAGGTGCCTCCCCTTGCCCCGTTTGTGCCCACCTCACTTGTCTCCAAAATAATGTCTTCCTGGTGGCAAACCCCCCGCAGGTGAGAACCACTGAGCGAGACTAAGTCTGTCTTACAGGTGATGAAAATTAAGTAGGGCGAGTTTAGAATCCAGGGTCACAAAGCTCGTGAGCCACAGCATTTGAATGGGTTTGCGTCAGGACTGTGGACCCAGACCTCACCCACCGTCCTTCTCCCAGAGATCATCCCTTTCTCTCCTCCTGAGTTGTGTTTCTAACCCCCCCCCCCCCCGTCCAGGTCACTGTATTGGCCTGCCCATGGTTTCTAAGAGCCCGCCTTCTCCCGAGGCAGATTGGCCACCCGGATTGCGTCCGGGGCTTGGAGGCGGGCACACAGGAGGACACGGGGCGTGGCTTCCACCGCTGGTCCCTAAACCGGTTAGTTCCGCAGCTCTCCCCCTCCACTTCCTGGCTGCTCTCACATCCTCTCCTCTCTGAAGATCTTTTTTGTCCAGACCCTTTTCGATCTGTTGCAAACAATAGATGTGAGAAAGCACAGCATTGCAAAGCGGTTCAGTCAGCGGCCAGGAATTTCTGGAGTGACTGAAATAGCCCTGGCAATGTAGGTCGCTATTTTGAAGGCTGAGCTAAGTGTTTGAAAGTGGTTCACACAACCGTGATCTCAGGGCTGCAGTGACGGAACCTGCGGTTGCAGACAGTCTCAAGGTGGGGCCTGAGAGCAGTGGAAATTAGCTTCTCTACCTAGGATCACACACACAGCTGGGGTTACTGGTTCCTGGGCCAAACTTTCTGATGTTTCCTCTGCCTTTAGAACAGCTGAACTCAACTTGTGACCCGGGAAGAAGGTGTAACCTGGCTTGATTCAGCCCCTTATTACCCTGCTCTTGCCAGACTGGAAAAGAATAGAGGACTGAGCCATTCACCCTTCTTCTATTTAGAGAACGAGTATAGACACCTATTCTTGCCTTACCCCCAAAGTCCCTTATTGTCTCCCGTCTAAGTTAGGTTGGGATTTATTTAGCAGAGACTTTCTAGCACATACTGTAGGAAGTGCCTTACAAAACTAATTGTTCCAAGGACCTGGTCCTCTTACCAGCATTTATAGAGGAGTAGCTGGGACCAAGTGGGTTAGAGGTTGAAGAACTTGTTGAAGATTGTGGAAAAGAAATGGCAGGGCTTGGATTAAAGAGAGTCTGATTCTAACTCAGTGGTTAGCAAAGTTGAGTGGGCCCCAGCCTTGCCTGCAGGCTTGTTAAACAGAGGTTTGCTTGGTCAGCCCCATCACCTCAGCGTTTTGTGTTTTGATAGGTCTTGGGTGATGCATATGAATTTGCATTTGTGATAGAGGCCTTGGTGTGGCCGCTGCTGTCCCTGGGGCCACACTTTGGAGAACCCACTGCTGCAAATTGACAGGCTCTTGAGCAACACGCCGTGCTGCTCTGATTCAATCAGCTCAAATACAAATATAGAATGACTTTGATCAGTGGGTGGCCATCTTGGGGTGAAATACCAATGCCTAGGCTTCATCCTCAGATATTCTGACTCAAGTGCTTGGCCTCCATCCCAGGCATCTGGAGTTAACAATTTTCACCATGTGATTCCAACCTGCTGCGAGGCTTCATGTTGGAAATCAGTGATTTGGGCTGTGGTTAGAGAACTTGAATGCATATGGGAATTACTTGGGGATCTTGATAAAATGCAGATTTCACGTCATGCCAAGAACCCAGTAGATTCTCATGCCGTTGGATTTTCACACAAACTTTGAGTAGCAGGGACTAATGTTCCCCAAGCCCCATGGCTCCTATAAAATACAGGATATCCAGTTGAATCTGGATGTTTATTTTTTTATCAGTATTTCCCAATATTGCATGGGTCACACTTATGCTAAAAATTATTCATTACGTTTCTGAAATTTCAATTGACATGGACATTCTTGTTTTCTTTCGTTTCATTTGGGTTGGTAAATCTAGCAATCCTATCCAAAAGAGAATTATGTGAATTGCTTGTTTCAGCACACACATGTACTCATTCACTCATAGATGCCTAGTTCTAACCCAGACCTGCTAAATCGTAATTTCTGGGGTCTCATTATCTTTATAGTTACCAAGCAGTGTGAGGTGATTCTTACCAGCTAAAGTTGGGAAATAGATCAACCCCTAACTCATGACTACTTGTAATCCCCCTGTCACTCCCAAAGACACGTTAGGAGGGTGTACTTTGGTTTGAGGCTAGTCAGGGAGCTGAGGGTGCTTCTTTAGCACATCATAGACTCTGTGAGAGTAGTATTCGGTCCCACTACTAGGTGAGGGTAAGTCTTCAGAATTCTGGGCTATGATATTTTAGTTCCGTGGATAAGCTGTCTTCTTTGATTGTGGAAGAAAATCTGGGTATTCAATTATTTGAGGTGCTAGAGTAGAGTTTGCCGATAAAATATAGGATGTCTAGTCAAATTTGAATTTCATATAAATGATGAATCCATTTTTTAGTATATAAGTAACCCCCAAATATTATGTGAGATCTTCTGATGCAAAGAAAATTGTGGTTTACACGAAATTCACATTGAACATGATGTCCTATGTTTACAATTGGCAATTCTGGCAACCCTGGGCTGGAGAACATTCTTGCAATGATCTCAGTGGGGCCAGCCTGCTTATCATCCTCAGTCCTGCTGGCTCCTGAGCAGCACTGCAGGTTTCTACTTACAGAACAGTCTTTGAAGTGGTCAAGAGCACCACAGAGGCTAATAGGAACTTGGACAAGAAAAGTGAGACCTCCTTCAAAGAGGAGCAATAACAAAAGGTATCAGTCCTTGGGAAGACTACCCAGGATCTCCGAATGGACTCTTTGGGAGATTGGGGGAAATAAAGGGCATGCATCTCACACTGGGACCCAGAGTCAGTATTTTTTCCCAACAGGAGGAGTTCTGCACAGAACTGTGTCAGCGAAGGTATAATATCTGCATCAGAGAGGCCTCTGGTACAAACCAGTAAGTGAACTCTACTTTTATAAGCACTGGCCCCATGTACTGCTCTGCAAGATGCTAACTCTTTGCATTCCTGATGGAAAAGACTGTCTCTCAGCAGTTCTGGGATGGGCACATTTGTGAGTGGTGGAGGGTTTGGTGAAGACACAGAGGTTGGAGCCAGGAAAGAAGGTCCCTAGTAAAGGGAGAGCAAACAATCAGCTCATAAGGTCCGTATTGTTGGGTGGACCTCCAGCAATCCCACTCATAGAAGCAGGAGCCAAATCTTTCTATAATTATGACCTTTGTCCTTGATTTTTGTTAAGACTGTTATGTTTAGATACTTAGGGTGTTATTTTTTTGTTCTTTGTGCATTTTAATTTGCTAAGTTGTACTAATTCCTTTCCAACCCGTGTATTTTATGTCAACACACTAACAGACGTAATGACATATCTGATTTTAATTATTCAGTTTTTTAATATCAGCTGATGTCCTTGAACTGAAGTAACTAAATTAGCATTTGTAAATTTCTCTAGTATTCGCACTTCATTGGGTGTTTTATGACCAACGTCTTTACTGGAAAACATCTTCATGAACTGTTGTTTTCTGCTTTCTGAACATACTGTACAGGACAGGATGTACTTTATAATAACATTCAGGCCTACTAATATTGTGTTTTACACACCAATTACATTAGGAAGCCTGTGTCTTTCTTTTAGTGATTTAGGCATTGGTGGCCGTGGCCAGTGAAAGAGAAGAATACCTAAAAGAAGAGACCGTTTGTTTTTAGTAAGTTAGCCCTCTCTGGCAACAATTAACATTCTGATACAGTGCATAATTTACTCATCCAGTGTAAACAGTTGCATTCTCTACATGAACAGTCTTTCACTAGAGTATTCCTTGTGTTACCTCTTACTGTACTTTTGGAAAACTGCTTTTGGAAAACTTTTTAATAACAGGATATGGTGTGTTCATCGCCTAAGGGCTTGTGTTCTTGGTCCAACCTCAGAAAGCTCTCCAAATGTGTTCTCTGGTACTTCAGAGAAATTGGCGTTTATTTTTTTTTCTTTCCATGGGATGGCAAATTCATGTGTTCTCTAACTGTAGGGAAGCAGCCCATTTTTATAAAACCTCCAGAGGAAACTGCCCCTGCTGACTTTTGCACAGAGAAGAGGAACAGAAACTGTTGCCTTGTCTTTTATTTTAATAGTCTAGGGGCGAGAAAGAATCCTATGGTGGGATTTTAAATTTGCCAGACCTGTATTAGATTTGTGAACTTTGCTCACCATGCTTCATGAAGGATGTGGGAAACCAGAAAGGAAGTTTAAAAAACAGCAACAGAGGTGGTTGAAATTATGCAAGATACTTCCCATCGAGAAGTCTTACCGAAAACGGGCTTGTTTCCCCTGCAGAGAGGTGTTGGGTTATGATCAGATGTGTGCGTTGGGTGTGACGTGGGGGTGAGTTGCCCTGTGTTCTGGGGGATTCGGAGGTGCCTCCTTTCAGAAAAGCTGACACCCTGTCTTTGGATGCTTGCAGCAGGGGGGCTGCTAGCTTTGGACCGCTGCCCACACAGGGCTGTGCACCTTGTGCGTGTGGTCCCTGGTGCCCTGTCAAAGGCTCCCAGGTTCTCTACTCAGATGCTGAGTGCAAGGCCCTGGAAGTGTGAGCACTGCTTTCCCCCCACCCCCACCCGTCACTTGGAGACCCCAGTTTACAGTCTGGAAGATCTCCGAGGCCATCCAGAAATTCACGTCGGGTGGGTGGACCGAACGATGAAGGATACTGGCCAGTCCAGAAACGGCAGTTGATATTTCCTCTTGTGATTTTGCTCTGAAGCAGTTTTCAGTGTTGTTGCGCAAACGGTAGAAGTTCTGGAGGTCCTTGGTGGCAGAGGAACGGCCAGAACTCAGCAGTGCTCCAGAACCTGGGCTTTGCCCTCTGGTTGGAGATTGTCACCGTGCCGTCCTGCCTGTCGCAGTTGCTTGTCACATGCAGTTACTTCACCTTTACTCTTGCGCTTGGGAATGCAGGCTTCTAGACGGTTCTCCGTAGCCTACCCTTCCCTTTTGCTGATGACTGAAATTCAGGGTTTGAATTGAAAGTGTAAAAGCTAATGTGTGGATTTTCTCTGCACCTTAAATGGAGAGTTTGTCTCTGGGTTATATCTCACTTTGACTGGAAGGTGGTTAATACGAGTGGAAATTCTGTGCTTTGGTTGGGGGAGGCCAGGAAATTGTGGCTTCAGGTTATTTGCTTCATATCCATAAAAACAGCCTTTACATATATGTCTTGATACTGCGTGTGATATCTGCTTATCTGCCACACTTCCTGATGTCTGGTATCAGGAGGCATAGTGTAATGGAATGTGTGCAAAACTTTTGTTCAAAATGGATACTGTGCCCTTCATAATGTTATTTGATCTTTCTGAGCCGCTCGTTGTTTCCTCATCTGTAAAATGTAATACATGTAATGGAATACACGTACTTCCCTCACAGGGTGTCTGTGAGGAAGGAAGGAAGACAGTATGAGGAAAACCGATGAGCATGGTACCTGTCGTAAAATCACGCGTTGTGTTTATTCATTTAATCAGCTGAGGATATAGCCCCCAGTTGAGAGGAGCAAACCCCGTGCTCCTTCTGGAGTTTGTCTCAGAAGAAATGTTCAGGTGTCAGGTGTAATGATGCTTTTCTTTCTCTCTCTCTTTTTTTTTCTCTCCAGCCACAGGACGAAGGCTTCTGGCTGGCCACCTCCCTCGGGCACCTGGGGCTTGAACCAGGCGCCACCCTATGGATGGGAGATGACTGCGAACCGGGATGGCCGAGACTGCTTCATCAAGTAGGTGGAACTGACAGCTTGAACTGTGAAATCTTCTTCCTGTTCCTTGTCTCTATTTCCAGCCTTGACTCAGAGAATTAACATGCCTCCCTTTGGGGCTCATAGACATGTGGAGGTCATCGGTCAAGCTGCTTAATCTCCTCTGTCTTCTATGTCTTGTGACATGCAGTTGCTTCATAGTGGGTCGCGTGCCATGTTAAGCGGATAATTCTCACTACAGTAAGGTCATTCTGGGAAAGAGCAAAAGTGTTCATTAGTAAATCCGAGGCCAGTTGTACCCACTGTCTGAGGCTAGAACTAAAGTTTGACATGGAGGACTATCATTTCAGTTGCTTTGTAGAGTTGGTCAAGACAGGAATGTTTCTGGGTCATTCGTAACGAAAAACATGAGCTAACAGCATTATATGCATTCCTCTCGCTTACACTGGCTAAGATTTTGGACTTTTGTGGTGCTTTTTTTTTTTTTAATGGGTTAAAATGTATATAACATAAAGGTAAATTTTTCTAACATTTTCACATTTTGGGGTATACAATTCTGTGACATTTAAGTACATTCAGAACATTGTACAACCATTAACCACTCTCCATTTCTAGAACTTTATCATCATGCCCAACAGAAACTCTGTACCCATTAAAAAATAATTTCCCATCCCCCCACCCCCCGGTAAGCTCTGTTTTACTTTCTGTCGCTATGAATCTGCCTATTGTAGATATCTCATATAAGTGAAATCATAAAGTATTTGTTCTGTGTATAGCTTATTTTACTTAGCATGATGTCCTCAACGTTTCTTCCATGGCGTGGTATATATAGCAATTTCGTTCCTTTTCAAGGCTGAATAATGTTCCATTGTACATAATCCATTTTATGGATAGCCCTCATTTGTTTAACCATTCATCTGTCAATGGAAATGAGGGTTGTTTCTACCTTTTGGGTCTCATGAATAATGTTGCTGTGACCAGTGCTTTATAAGTATCTGTATGGGTCCCTGCTTGCAATTCTTGTGGGTATATACCTAGCAGTGTAATCACTGGATCATAAGATAATTCTATGTTTACGTTTCGGAGGAACCACCAAAGAATTTTGGAGGCATCAGTGGCTATAGGTCTCTGGTTTTTCGCAATGGTATGAGTCTTCCTATTGCACTTAGCAAAAAAGCAAGGATCTACCCTGCTTTCTTTTACAACCTATGTGGAATATTCTTAAGTATGAGAATTTTCAAAGTAAATTCTAGATCAGTAAGCACGTTTGATCCTAAGCTAATACAGTTGAGTTGAGACTGAATGCCAAGGGAAGCATTTTTCAGACTACAGGCTGCATTTCTTTGTTCTCGTCAATCTGACTGTGGACTGATAAGCAGACAGGGTCACTATGAGGTGGGGGATCATGTTTATAAAGATAAAAATCTTTGAAGATTGCTTTTTGGGGGGCACCTGGGTGGCTCAGTCGTTAAGCGTCTGCCTTCGGCTCAGGTCATGATCCCAGGGTCCTGGGATCGAGCCCCACATCGGGCTCCCTGCACTGCAGGAAGCCTGCTTCTCCCTCTCCCACTCCCCCTGCTTGTGTTCCCTCTCTCGCTGTGTCTCTCTCTGTCAAATGAATAAATAAGTAAATCTTTAAAAAAAAAAAGAGAGAGAAGATTGTTTATGGGGATTTGGTCTCTGCACAACCCAGCACCTCCAGGTGATTATGGGAAGCTATCTATGCGAAAAACATATGAATGTTTTGGTCAGATTTCCAGTCTTTGTGGCCCAAATCTCTCCTCTTTCTTGAATTTCCTGCAAAGGGGAGAGCAGTACTCTTCAGAGTACAATTTGTTCCTGAGGGCCTGGCCTTCGGGAAGTTTCAAGTTGCCCATGAACATGGCCCACTACAGGGAGCCTGTGTGCAGTGGTCCTCTGCCTCTTCGAGGCTTTCTTGAGGATGTGCTACCATAGAAACTACACTGGAATTGGCCGTGGGAGTAGAATCTCCCAGAAAGCACAAAGACTGGAAGAAAGACCAACAGTTTTGCTTATACCTTAGATTCTGAGTTGTTCATTTCGTACGGTTTCCCCGAGTGCTTTATAATGCTGAAAAGATGATATTTTGTCATATTACATTGTGCTATCCATTTTGTAACATCGTTATGAATTCATGTAATTGGCTCAGTTGAGGTGGCCTAGATGCTTTGACTCAAAACAATAAGAATATACTTTCTAAAAGATTCAGATTATAAATTTATGGAGGTGTATCATAGACTTTTCCAAGGCAAATGCATTTTTCTTTTTCCTCGTTGGATTTGGGCTCCCGTGCATTCCAAGCCAGTTGATCAATAATAGATGGAAACCCAAACCAAGGCCTGTTGGTTGTAGATGCCAGGAATCCCAGCTAGCCCTAGCCACATGCATTTCCCTTCATGTCCTTGACATTTTTAAGGGCAAGCCCACCTGTGAATATACCATTTACACTGGCCTCCTACCGGCTGTTATAACCTGTAAGAGTAAATCAGCAACTTCATAGAGAAAGCTGCACTGATTACTAAATAGCAGCATTAAAAACCAATGTCCCCAGTGTCATTCTTCCCAAGCACGTGCTCTTGCACCCAAGCTGGGAGAGGGGCGGAGGGAGCCAGAGAGAATCTCAAGCAGGCTCCCTGCTGAGTCCAGAGCCCAACACCAGGCTCCACTTCAGGATCCCGAGATCATGACCTGAGCAGAAATCAAGAGTTGGCCTCTCAACCTACTGAGCCACCCAGGTGCCCCCAAATCTGTAGGGTTTTTTTTTACTGGAAAAGTAAGTTTCCACAGCTCTCTCAGACTCATTGTTATCAGATGTGAAGAACAGTACTTATTTCAAAAGTGTTTGTTCTTTATCGCCAGTGGGTTTTATAAATGAGAATCATTCTGGTGGTGGTGTTTTCTTATCTACTGAGTACTCTCCATTACAAAGAAATACTCTAATTACTCAAGTTTCTGTCGAGCTCTGGTTTGCAGTGTGGAGTATATCTCTACTCATTAGTTTTGTGAGTTAAAAGAACAATTTGAAAATTAAGCTGTGACTAGTAATTAGCACCTTTGCATTTAATTTCTCACTCTTTTACATATTCTCTTTGAAAGATGTTAGATGTCTTCTTTTTTTATCTTGTCTTAGGATCCAAATGATATCCCAAATCAGACAATTGGTTTTGATGGTGGTACAACTACTTTCAAGTTATTAATGAAGCTATGGGAAGATCCAGGCTTCCCATGTTCAAAGTTAGAGTCTTCTAGCTCAATAATGAGCTAATTCTATCTTGATGAGTCCTTCAGAACACAGCCCACGGTAGTTAAATGTGTTCAAATTTCATGTTCCTTTTCCCATCCCCAATTATTTAGAGTGGAACCAATACCTTATATTTTATAAAAAAACTGGTAATGCATAGGGTTAAAAAATTTTAATGCCATTATGCACATATTAATGTACATTTGTATAGCATTATATAGACAATAGACTATTGGTTATCAGTGTTTGCTGCACTTTGAAATAGGTTCAGGAAGGGCGCCTGGGTGGCTCAGTTGGTTAAGCGACTGCCTTCGGCTCAGGTCATGGTCCCAGGGTCCTGGGATCAAGCCCCGCATCAGGCTCCCTGCTCAGCGGGAAGTCTGCTTCTCCTTCTCCCACTCCCCCTGCTTGTGTTCCCTCTCTCACTGTGTCTCTCTGTGCCATATAAATAAATAACATCTTTAAAAAAAAAAAAATAACAGATGTCGGTGTGGTTGTGGATCTAGATGCATAAAGCTTAGATATAGTTGTAGATAGAAATATAGATATTAACATAGCTCTTGGTTCAGATACAGATGTAGTTGTGGATATAGTTATAAATGGATATAGAATATAGATATAGATGACCCATATATGTGCGTATAGAGAAGTGTAGATGGAGGCGTATAACCTTGTCTGCCCAGGAGAGTCCTGGTTTATGAGTATTGTTCTGACATAATTACAGACAGCACCTCCTTTTGCTCTTAATGTGATCTGATTTGGATAAAGCAAGTTTAGAAAATTCTTGCGAGACCAGAGGTTTCATTAAAACTTGACAAGTGACCTGGGAGATGGTGAGCTACATTGAGGAATCTTCTTTTTGGGGAAAAGGTGAGGTTCCCCAGAAGTGCGGATTGCCACATCCTCTGTAGAGTCAGACTAGCGTTTCTTCCACATCATCAGACTATAAAGCCCCGGTTGTTTTGGCTTTGTATTGGAGTCTAATGTATTGGACTTAATGCTAAGTCCCTTGTATTCCATAGCCTTATCACCGCCCCTGCGATCACGCAGCCATACCCTCTCACCTCCTTTCCCCAGCTTGCCCTCCCCATTCAGCATCCTTTAGAAATGGCCCCATCCGCCTGGTCGTCTGGTCATGTGCTTCTTTTAAAAGCACTTCTTGGCCCACCCAACATACATCCACCAAACATTTATTGAACATTAGTATATGCTGAAGATACCAAGATCACTAAGACAATTTCTTACCTTCCGTGATCTTAGAGGATGGTGGAAGTGATAGTCCTGCCATCATACTCAACTGTGCAAGATCTGTTTAACTTCCTTAGAGACATATAATACGTGTCATGGAGAATAGGGAACTCTGTGTGGTCCTAATATCCCATTTTTTTCATTAAACGGAGTAAAAACACTCTTGTTGGACTGTGAGGGTGTGGAGGGTTAATACAAAAAAAAAAAAAAGTCCTTCATAAATCTGGAACTTTGGTTTTTGAAGATTGAAAGGAAAATTAAAACATGGTCAAAATTAATATTAGAACACTCGTTGGCAAGATAGATGTTTATGAAGAGCCAGCCCAGTTGGAGTCTGGGGATAGCAATCGGGGGTGGGAAAGGAGACTGGAGGGTCATTGCAAAAATACATGCCCTGATTTTTCAAGTTCTGCATTTGAGAGGCTTCCTTTTCTTCATCTTCTCCTTCTTTTTTTTTTTTTTTTTTCTCCTCTTCTTTTTTGGCCTGTTGGATTTCTGGCTACCTTCCCCC